ACTGAACACCAGTTAATACTAGTGGTCCTTCGAATAAAAGAGTAGTTTAAGCTTTCTTGAGCAACCTATATTAATTATATATATATAATAATTACTCTAACGGCTGTAAGGGGTATTTGTCCAGAATGCCTGAAGGATAAGGTAGAGTGCAGACCATCTATATATAGGTCCCTTCAGGACAATGTCTAATTAACTTTCAGTCACTGAGTGATTATACTTGGAGGCAGTCCACTTAATGTAAGTGAATGTAAAATACCTCGAATCTTTAAAAGTTCCCCACGAACATATTTTCGACATATTTGCTAGAATATTCTAAGACGTGAAACTAAGGAAGCAACAAAGCATATTTCGAGCATCAGCATGCTACATCTAGGCAAGTATATTTGAATTTGCTTTATGATACCAATTTAGGGAAGTATCAGGGAGATGCCAAGCAACTCCACCCCTTCACTTGAGGATGAAGGTACAAGTAACCTGTATTGCATATAGATACATAGAACGAGAGAGAGAGAGAGAGAGAGAGAGAGAGAGAGAGAGAGAGAGAGAGAGAGAGAGAGAGAGAGAGAGAGAACGAGGTTAAATAGGAAAACGAACACTAAAGGAAAAGATCAAAACAGAGAAAAGAAGAGACAGACACAAATAAAATAACGCTTGGAAATATACAAATCAGAGTTGGGTGAAATGTGTACATATGTGCATATGTATTTATGTAGGTATGTAGGTATATAGGTAGGTAGGTATGTATAAATGTATGTACGTAAGAATGTATGTATGCATTTGAATATATATATATATATATATATATATATATATATATATATATATATATATATGTGTGGTGTGTGTGTTGTGTGTGTGTGTGTGTGTGTGTGTGTGTGTGTGTGTGTGTGTGTGTGTGTGTGTGTGTGTGGTGTGTGTGTGTGTGTGTATGTGTGTGTGTGTGTTGTGTGTGTGTGTGTGTGTGTGTGTGTGTGTGTGTGTTAGATGAAAAAGCTTTGATCAAATTGGACTTTGCCAACACTTTCAACTTAGTCACAAGGGATGCTGCTCTCCAAGTGTGGCTTCTAAACTATTGTTTGGGGACCATGAAATTGACTCGTGTAAGGGTATGCACCAGGGGGATCCTCTAACCACCTTTCTATTCTGTCTGGTCATCAAGGAAGTCACAGAAGCACTCTCCAGTGAGCTCAATATCTGGTTCATGGATGATGGTACCCTAGATGGCACTGCAGAATCTCTCCTAGAAGACATCAGAAAAATTAAAGATATGTAATGATGCACCGAAGAAGAACGGGTTCATTTCTTCTGGTATCAGGCTAGCAACACACACACACACACACACACACACACACACACACACACACACACAGCACGGCTTCAGGGAAGGAAAATCCTGTGTAACAAACCTACTGGAGTTATATGACAAGGTAACAGAAGTAAGACAAGAGAGAGAGAGAGAGAGACAGAGGGGTGGATAGACTGCAATTTTTTGGACTGCAAGAAGGCCTTCGACACTGTTCCTCACAAGAGGTTAATGCAAAAGCTAGAGGATCAGGCACACATAACAGGAAAGGCACTGCCATGGATTAGAGAATACCTGACAGAGAGGTAACAACGAGTCATGGTACGTGACGAGGTGTCAGAGTGGGCGCCTGTGACAAGCGGGGTTCCACGGATCAGTCCTAGGACCTGTGCTATTTTTGGTATATGTGAATAACTTAACGGAAGAGATAGACTCAGAAGTGTCCTTGTTTGCAGATGATGTGACGTTAATGAGGAGAATCAAATCGGTCGAGGATCAGGCAGGACTACAAAGAGACCTGGACAGGCCACAAACCTGGTCCAGCAACTGGCTCCAGGAATTTAACCCTGTCGAATGCAAAGTCATGAAGTTCAGGGAAGGGCAAAGAAGACTGCAGATAGAATATAGTGTAGGTGGCCAAAGACTGCAAACCTCACTTAAGGAAAAAGATCTTGGGGTGAGTATAATACCGAGCACATCTCCTGAGGCGCACATCAGTCAGATAACTGCTGGTGCATACGGGCGTCTGGCACACCTAAAGACAGCGTTCCGATACCTCAGTAAGGAATCGTTCAAGACTCTCTACACCATATACGTCAGGCCCATACTGGAGTATGCAGCCTCGGTTTGGAATCCACACCTGGTCAAGCACGTCAAGAAATTAGAGAAAGTTCAAAGTTTGCAACAAGACTAGCCCCATAGCTAAGGGGATTGTTTTACGAAGAAAGGTTAAGGGAAATTGGCCTGACGACACTGGAGGACAGGAGGGTTAGGGAAGACATGATAACGACGTACAAAATACTGCGAGGATTTGACAAGGTGGACAAAGACAGGATGTTCCAGAGATGGAATACAGAAACAAGGGGTCACAATTAGAAGTTGAAGACTCAGATGAGTCAAAGAGATGTTAGGAAGTATTTCTTCAGTCATAGAGTTGTCAGGAAGTGGAATAGCCTAGAAAGTGACGTAGGGGAGGCAGGAACCATACATAGTTTTAAGGCGAGGTTTGAAAAAGCTCATGGAGCGGGGATAGAGAGGACCTAGTAACAATCAGTGAAGAGGTGGGGCCAGGAGCTATGAATCGACCCCTGCAACCAAAAATAGGTGAGTACACACACACACACACACACACATGCTGTACATAAATAAGTCTTCCTTGCTTGTTTCTGGTCAGTGTTTTTTTTTTATTATAAGTCTCTTCTGGACAATGGTACCATTTAGGATGTCCATTTTCAAAAAGTTTTCCCTGTGTCCCAGTAACAAGTTTTCTTTGTTTGTC